CATTGTTCTCCTCTTCTTCCCCGCGGATTACGCAATGCGCGGCCAGGTCTCTCGTATGAGCAGAAGCGAAAAATTAAAATGGAAATGAATTTTGAACGGCCGTCCGCGGCCTTGAGGAGCTGCGGCGGGAACGGCTGGAGAACGTCGAGGTTAGAGCGGTGACGCGCGAAACGACGCGTTGGTCGCGTGCGAGGGAAGAGATAGTACGTGTCGAGTGATGGCCGCGTGTTGGACGAATGTTTGGACGCGTGGTACGACGGTATTTATTTTATTATGCAATCGGTCGTGGGGTCAGGACCGGGCGAGGGAAAAGGTGGTAGCTCTGGGCGGTTCGAGGGGTGCGAAAAAGTAGAGGGGTGGCGAAACGTTGTCGTTAACGCGCCGAGGTTTCTCCCCGATGTTCAGGGACGCTGCGAGAGCCACCGGGTACGTGGGAATCGCGTCACATGCCTCTCCCTTTTCTCATTCGACGACTGCTATTTGTTGTCGCAGAGAAATTGCCCGTCCACTTAACTTCCTCCGCCTCCCGGCGGGATCGCGCCGCGTAAACAGACATCCACGCCTCTGATTTTTACTCCGTACACCCGAGCACGATCGAGCGGAAATCGGTGACGAGGGTCTGTATACCGGGAAATATCGCGGACGGTGTCTTTGGACGCGTTGCCCCAACGATCTGCAGCTTCGACGCGAAAGAGACTCGGCCTCGGAAATTTATAGACGGGTAATGATTTAATCCCTGATCCGCGAGGCTGTCGATTCGATAGAATTGCAATCGCTCAATTAGGCGTGAGGTTATGGCTGGCACGTGGCGGCAGCACGTGCATCTATCGTCGTTACGGGGCGAAGTAGCCGCAGAGTAGCGAGCTAAACAAGCACGCGCGAAAGCACCGGGGAGGAATCTTGGAGCGCGGACTCGCAGCGATCGGCGCGTGTCGCGAGTAAATCGAGTAGGCGGATGGTATCGATAGAGGGCTGCGAATACGGATCCGGCCCTAATTGCAGGATAAACACTCGAGTTTGAGTGAAATATCACGTACGATATCGATACTCGAGCCTCCACCCTGTTCCCGCCGCTTCCATCTTTCGGGGTTGCTGCCGCGCCGAATTATCGCCGATTTTCCATCTCTGCCGACGCAGAAGCGAGGAATATTTTCACGCTTCCGCGTGGCTTGGACGCGTGGATAGCGAGGCTGCGAGAGGCGCGACGTAGATGGAAGGGAAGAGGAAGCGAATGAAAAAAGCATAGGTTGGAAGACGGTAACACGAAGCTTATCCGATTATTCGCTTGTCCCGGATATGTGTTGGTATTTCGTTACTTACTTATGCTCCTCTCTGCTAGATTACCGCGTAAGAACCACCGGCTCCGAAGGCCACGCGCGTTCTTTTTCGTTGGTCGGGTAAAAAGGCTGGCAAACGCAGATGCACGGTCTTCGATAACGCCGGCGGTTCTCCGGTAACAGACCTTTGTCTCGAACGCGTTTCCGTTTTCAGGCGGAATATCGCGATTCCGTAAACACGGGAGGTAAATCGGGTGCGATGCGGTTATCTGCTTTACGCAGCGATTTCGCCTAGGTCATACTCGAAACGCAAAGTCGGCCAAATGTTTTCGTAACTGATGGCCTTTTAGAATTCCGTCTCCCATCGACAGCGGCACGTGCTATCATCCCACGGTCCCCTGAATAATCCATTCCTCCGCCTACGTTCCGCGCCGTCTAGCCGCCTGTTCGTATTTTAGCTTTTAATTAATTTTCGATTCCCTTCCTCGAACGTATTCCTTCGATATTCGCCCGGTCCATCTCTCTTTGTTGCCGACTTCGAATTTTGCTACCGTCGCATCTCGTATTCTATGAATACCGAAGTAACCGGCTTGCTCGCGGGACAAGTCCGCCGCCGCTCTGCGGCCCTCCTTCGATTCCTCGGTATTTACGCGAAACGAGTAATTTATGATTCGATCTTCAGCGACCTGGCCGTTTTGATGTATAGCCGGACTTACCGGTAGCCGGTTAATTCGCCGAATAATTACAAGCGAGATTTCGTATTCGATCGGGCAGATCGGCCGACGTAATTGATATTAATTTGCATTTTCTAATTCGACGGTAGAAGTGTTTCGCGTTATCTCGGTTATTTATTATTCAATCGCGCACACGAACACGCCGCGACAAACCTCTGGGGAAGTTCGACGTTAAGCTTAATCGCGCTCCCTAGACGCCATATTTCATCGCGAGCATAGTTTTAGATGCTATCGCGGATAAGCGAGCGCCGCTCGTGTAATTCATACGGTCGTCCCGCAAGAACTCAATACCGTATTCGAGTACGGGGAAGATAATTAATTAAATTCGCACGTCGCGATTAATTAGTCCCTTTCGTTACTCGGTCTAATCTCTTGCTAGACGCGACACCCGACGATCGCGCTGCTCGCTCGGCCATCGCGCGCGTGCGCCATCGATCCCGAATTCGCGAATTCGCCGAGGACACTCTCGGCCGGGCGAGAGAAATTACCGTGAAATTTCGTTACCAGTCCATTGACTTCCACGGATTCCGATCCATTTGAAAGCTCGAAACACGAAACCCCGTTGGGGACGGAAGAATCCAATAAACAGAAAACGAATTTGCTATTAGGGTCGCGTCTGATCTCGTTGTGGGCCAATGAGCCAAAGCAACCCTTATATCAACCCCCGGGTTTCCGTCTCGCGCTGACGATAATAAATCGAATCATACTTCAGGACGCAGCGGGTGTTTGCCGTTCCATTAGGGTTGCTTAGCTGGCCGCTTTTCGGTAAACCGGCGTATCCGAATTTATCTCTCGGCGGAAAACTTTCCACGGCTCGCGAGTTCCGCTGGGACTCACGTGTCTAGGTGTGTGTGGCCGATGAAAGGCGTAGATCGGGCGCAATGGCGGATTTCCAAGCTCGAGTTTCGAATCTGTTCTCGCGTAGAATTCAAGCAAACGAAGGGCTTTTCCTCGCGCCCACTTCTCCGCGCGTGGAAGCAGGCGGAAGACCATAATCGGAATTCCATTGTCTCGTTGCTGGATAAGGGCCTGGCTTTCTCAGGGGCCGATGTATAGTCGGCAAAGGCCGTCGTTAACGGTAGCGCTAACGCCCACTCGACAATCAAGCATCCTCTCGCTGGATCCGTTCTTCTCTTTCCCCAGAAGCCTCATCCCTTCGGACCAACCTCCGTTGCTTCGATCCGCCGCGGAGCGAACGGAACAGAAGATACGGATCATAGATTCAACGATCGCGGGCGTGTCGTGGCCATCGTTGCGACGGTAGCCAACCGGCATGGAATTTTACATTGTGCCCGGCGCAATCTTTCTCGACGATCTACCTGGCTACCACGCTGATAGCCCACTCGACCAGTTCGTTAGCCAACCATCACGCGTATGCATCATCGTCGGCGTCATCGTCGTCATCCTTTGCTCCTGCGCGTGCTTACGTATCGTTCTTAGCTCCAGGGAACAGTTGCAGGGTCAGCGCGAGAGATACGACCGATACGACCGTGTCATCCCGATGCATCTCACGGACCACTCCTCTGCCCCCCCTCTCTCTCTCTTTCTCTCTCTTTTACTCTTTTCCTCTCCTCTTTTCGCGCTTCCGTTTTCTCGCGTCGTCTCGCTCGACAACCCGAGCAACCTGGATTCCGTCCATCAGACGAGCTAAATTACGCGTGGTCTCTTTAATTATTCGCCTTCGACGCTGTCGCGTGGTGCAGCGTAGAGGAACACGAGCCGAAGCTGGAGAGATGCAAACGACGCGTACGATATCGTCTTCGCGTTTGCTTTCTCCTCTCGTCGTAAACCACTCTTCCAACTCGCTCTCGCGGTAGGAGCTGCTGCTTTTTAATTCCTCCCCCTCCCGCCCCTTCTTCCTCGTCTTTCTTCGCCTCTCCGTTCGCGTTCTTCTCTTTGCCCGCTAAACCTACACTCGTCGGTGCTTTCTCTTTTTACGCGTTGTCGCGAGTGCGTTCGCGGACGCGGTTCTGCCTCGACGCGATCGACTTTACACGCTGGAACAATTACTATACCGGGGGGGAGAAAAGTGGCAGCTCGTGATCGGATAATTAGCCCGGCGACCACGAGCCGAGGAGTAACGACATGGATCGCGAGACAGGAATATCGCGTTATAATTCGTGGGAGCAGTTCACAAAGTCGGATCTTAAAGTACTCGATTCGATGGATCGCGGAACACGCGGCGATCCTTCGGATCTGGGTATCTGCCATTCCTTCCCCGAGTTTACGATCCAACTTCCAACCGGGAGACACTGGCCAGGCTCAGTTTTCCAGCCTCTTCTTTTTATTGGCCGGAACGTTGTACGTTGGCGTGTTGGATACCATCGTTTCCAGAGGCAGCTGGGAACGAACCGCGACTTTGGTCCTCTGGATGGTCGTGTATTCCGGGGTGTACCCCTGCCCTCCTCGGTCCCCGTTCCGCCGTCCTGACTTGTCCCCCGTCCTCCTCCCTCCGCCGCCCCTGTGACCCCCTCATAAGCGGATTACGTGGGTCCCGGAACGAGCCAAGCGAGGCTCGATGGCACGAGGAAGGTAGAGGAGGGTGGGTCGTAGCGGGGGAACTGTTCAAAATTACGCTATCGCGACCTCGCAACGCTTACACCCCTCTGCGCCACCCCCTTTTCTGTCCTACGGTCTGCGGTACCCATGCCCTTACCCTTCTCTGGTCCAACGCCATCCACTCGTCTTCGCCTTTTCCATCTTTCGCGTATATTCGCGCGTATCCACGCGTATTCACGCGTTCCTCGCGGTCGCGACTTCTCTCCGCTATCCCGACGAATATATTCGTCGCGCCACGCGCGATTCGCACGATCGTCTAATTCCGGTTCCGCTTCCTTGTGTGTTTCAGGAATGAATCAGCGCAAACAACGTCGGGAAAGAACAACCTTTACCAGAGCTCAGCTGGACGTGCTAGAGGGACTTTTCACGAAAACGCGGTACCCGGATATCTTTATGCGAGAAGAGGTCGCTCTGAAAATTAACCTGCCCGAGTCACGAGTTCAGGTAAATTCCCTTCTCCTTTTGCCGCTTTTTCTCGCGCAGCCGATGCGCTCGCGGAGGAATCGATCGCGTGGTAGCCCGGCAACTTGCTCGCGTATAGGTCACCGTACGTAACGAGCCACGAGAAACAGGAACGATCTCTGACGAACGGTGGTAACGAGTCGGAGAGAAAGAGGGTACGCGAGTGTTTCGTGCTTCGGCAAGCATGGACGAGATTTAAGGTATTTACACAACGCGGTGTCGCGCCCTACGCCCCTCCGGTTTCGCCATTGTCCCGGGCCGTGGCTGTACATTGATAGATGTGCCGACGAGCTCGTTGACGCTTTTATTGCGGTCCTCGTAACATCTTTATTTCGTGGCGGGATGTCCCGAAGTCACGGCATCGTGACGGGAATTTAGAGCTCGCGAATCCCCCCGACGAGCCTCCATTTTCTCCCTCCTGCGATCGCGATACGCCATTAACGGCGCTCCGCGTTGTCTCCTCTTCTTCTTCTTCTTCTTCTTCATCTTCTTCTTCTTCTTCTTCTTCTTCTTCTTCTCCGACCCGCTCGACGGAAACTCGCGTCGCGGAATCCGACGACTACGACGACGCTCGGCAGGGTAGCGTTGTCTCCTCTTCTTCTTCTTCTTCTTCTTCATCTTCTTCTTCTTCTTCTTCTTCTTCTTCTTCTTCTTCTCCGACCCGCTCGACGGAAACTCGCGTCGTGGAATCCGACGACCACGACGACGCTCGGCAGGGTAGCAAGATGTAGGACAAAGCGAGGAAATTCGGTCCAGCGGAGTTTCCACGCGAAGTTAAGCCTCCGGTGAATGAAGGCGCAACTGCAAAAGGGTGTAACACACGCACGTCGTACGGGAGCACACGTGTGCTGGATGTACATTGTAGAGGCGTACCCACGTGAACGAATAATATCGAAGGGGGAAGGGGGAGAGGTGGATAAGGGAGGGAGAGAGGTCGAGGGGTGTGTGGATCTAAAAGTTTCCGGGGGAGAAGGAGAGGAGAGAGGCACGACACGGGGTAGAGGTGTGTATAGGTGGAGGAACACAGAAGCACGATGTATGGAACACAACGTATAGTTGATTTGTTCCTGGATTATAGCCCTTCGTTCTATCTCGCTCGCGAGTTTCTATACGCTCTTCTCTGCGAGAGAACGACACAGCTGCGCGCGATGTTTGCTACGTTTCAATGCGCCAGATCGTTCGTCCATCATTTACGATCGAGGAACGCGTCGAAACGTTATTTTCTCGATGAAAAAGAGAAAAGCCTATGGCTGCAGGAGCGGTAGCATCCGACAGGGAAAACGATAAACTTCTCCTCGCCAACGGGTTTACCTTGCGCAAATTTATTCGTATTAAATTCTACTCGCCGGTAATCTACGTTATCGCGAAAAATATCTGTATCCGAATGTCGGGACGACTCGCGCGACGAATTAAAAATTACTCGGCAAATCGTCATCGAGCGACGTGTCTGCGAGACGCGTGGCGTCCTGGTCGTATCCCTGGTCACATGGCGTGCACACCGGGACACGGCCGCGGGGCGACGTCGAATTGATAATACAAATAAGAAAATATATCTGTCATAACGAAACGTGAACGCAGCTGCTCCGCGGCCAATGGTTCGGTGTTTCCGCGTTGGACGTTAACCAGATGCCGATGCAATTTACACCTAGCCGTCGATACACAGAGTGGAACTGGCTGTGGTTCGCCCCGAGGGCTTCCGGATGGCACCACAGCCCGTTCCGTTGGTTTTTGGGGTAGCTGCGTGCTCGGGTTGCGTGTTGTTCCCGAGGGGGGAGAGGGGGGGGGGGGGGGGTGACGTTGTGCAAACAGCGAGCGGTAATGGGCGTTTTCTCTCTCTGGTTCTTCTATCTCTTCCTTTCTCTCCCGGTTCATACGCAATATCCGCGTTTCACGCGCCTCGGATCTTCGCACCCCATTTGCGGGGGTCGTGTTTGCCGAACGAGGATTCGCCCGTCGCTCCTGGACCGATACGAGGATCGAAACGAGCCTCGGGTTATCCCTCGCGTGTCTCGTCCTTGGTTCCAATCTCTGATTTTTTAACGCGTCGTTCGCTCTCAACTTTTCAACCCCCGCGCGCTTTCCACGAGGTCGGGAGGTCCGTCCCCTGCCCACCCTTTCAACTCGACCATCTAACGCGCGAAATTCATGGCGACCGAAAATCCCGTATCCGCTTCGGCGGTTCGCGTTCCTCGCAACAACTGTTACAATGCCGTCGATAATAACAACAATGACGGCGGGTCTTGCTTTTAAAGGCACGGGCATAGATTCATAGGATCGCACCCCTGGCCACATTGTGCGCCGGGATTACAGAGGGTGCGTGAGGGGGAGTGAAAGGGGGCTGCGTGCGCGAACTTGCGGCCTACCGGGGGTTACTTTTTGTCCGTGCTCGGGACGCGGTTGTCTGCTGCACGGGAGAGCAGGGAAAAGGAGGACTCGTCGCTTCTAGGAAAGCTCTCCGTGCTTTTTCCATTTCCCTCCACGCGTCTTCCCGTGTGCGTGTTATTACATTCGCGTTAAGGATGCGGGTGGGTTTTTCAGGAATTATCGGACGCTCGGGGTAGCAGGACGAAGGGGCCTCGATTGGCGCATGCGTGTCGGGAAACACCGACGACGCGAATCTCCAGGGATACACACGTATACGCGTATCTTAAGATGCGAGCGTGTGCGTGGAAACTTGGCCCCGCGCACACACACGCGCTCGTAAAAGCCCCCGAACTACTACCCCTGCGTCGGTTCGTTCCTTGTTATTGTTACGATTTAATGAAATGTTACGGCCATCCGCCCGCGATTACTTTCCCATTGCACCGATTAACTCCCTATTGGTACGGTTCCATCCCTCGTGACAGCACACCTTTTCTTCCCGATGATCCCTCGGGCCAGGCTTTCCGCGAGAGACCTCGCTGTGCCACTGTTTCGCTTCGTCGGATAGCGAGGGGTGATTTTAACGAAACGTTCGTCTTGCTTCTCTCGCAGGTGTGGTTCAAGAACCGTCGAGCAAAGTGCAGGCAGCAACTGCAGCAGCAGCAGCAGCAGCAGCAGCAACAGCAGCAGCAGACCTCGCCGTCGAAAGGGTCGCCGAGGTCGAGTCAGAGCCAGAGTAACAGCAACAACGGGAACAAGATGTCCACCAGCTCTTCGGCGACGCCCAGCAGACGCTCCTCTCCGGTCTCCCCGCCGCGAGGCAAAGAGGCACCGGGCCCCAATTCGCCGCTGCTGTCAACCACGTCGACGTACCCGCGCCTCGGCGTGACGCCGACGGGCGGAAGCGGCGCGAACAGTGCCCTGACCACTCCGTCTCCGCCGTTGACCCCGGGTTCCAGCCAGTTACCACCGTCGTCTTATCCGCCTCCGATGAACCAGATTCATCACGGCGAGTATGGTTTCACTTGGAGTTCAGCGTCACCCGGCTCGGTGAACCCGAGCCAATGTTACGCCGGGCAGACCTACAACGCCTACCAGAATCCGTACACCAGCGGCGATTATTATCAGACCCAGATCTCGCATATGCACCACAGCCCGCAAGGAAATTATCATCATCCGCAATATCATCACAACATGACATTGACGTCCTCGATGTCGCACTTGACCAGTCATCATCTGAATCCGACCGGCACCAACGACATGGCCGCGTCTCCGTCGGACTCGGACGGTTACATACTGCCCGATCAGAAGTATCAGACGATGGTATAGCGGTCCAGCAGGTCCTCCGGAATCTTCCAGCGTGGCCAGGAGGCCGCAGCCGTGGCTGGGTCCTCAGCGAGTTACAACTGGCGCCTAAACTCCGCGGCCACTTGCTCCGAGATCAATGGTAACATCGATTCCGATGACGACTGATAAGGCACGCTGTTCGGAACAAGATTCGAACGTTGAAACTGTCCATCTCGTTTTTCTTTTTTCTCCCGCGAGTCCCGAGGCACCGGGACCTCGCGAGCAAGAGCCTCGAGAGGGTTCCGGTTCCGAGGTGAAGTAGCATATCGCGTAGCGTTGCATCGTATCGCACGTACTCTCGCGGAAAATCGCTAATCATCGCGAGAACGCGGATAATCGACGGCAATCGGTTATCTCTGTCGAACTTTGCCGCGTGATCGGGAACGAACGAACACGTCCGGGAAAACGTTCGCGATTCTAAATTGAAGCGGGAACCGCGAACGTCGACGAAGATGCGAAAGTAGACTTCGGGGCATCGTCGTTCGCGCGATTCCCGGTCCAAGTTTCGAGTCGCGAGACGGCCCGGAGATCGACTCGCTTCGTTCCGGGGGTCCAAGGGGCTAGGTAAATAATGACGAAGATGGAATCGACGCGCAAAAGTCGGACGTGTCTCGTCATCATTCACGGTACGTCCCTGGTGATCTTCTTGGCGATCGCGCGGAACGCGAGCGGCGCGTCGGGCGCCACCGATTTCCGGTCGTCGGGAAACGCGTAACCACGGAGATCTCTGGCAAGGATTTCCAATCGGGGATGAGACGTGTCTCCGCTCGACGCGCGTTCTCGCTTTCGTCGTTGGGGCGAAGTGGACGCTTCGAAGATTCCTAGGACTGACGCGCGAGTGCATTTCCGTTTTTTCCATCGCGGATTATTCGCTGGACCACGTTCACCTTTACTTTTTCCTCCTTTCGTTTTACAATTACTTCGCTACCTCTGAGAATCGTACTTCTTGACATTCGAGTTACCGGTTCACGGTTACAGGGATTGCGATCCGCCGAGAGGAAATGGAGGCAACGACGATTCGCGATCCGTCGTTGGACTTTCTGTTCTAGATGTCGCGCTGGTCGAGTATAGGGGGGATAATCGACGGAGAGAAAAGGGTGCAATCACGATCGCCGAAGATCGGGCGTCGTCGTTGGTCGCAGCGATGAGGGTTAGGTTAGGTCGCGAGTATCGTTCCTTTTTTCTCTTGCCGTTGTTCGCGCGGCGATCGGGAAATGTCCGCGTTTCCGGTTTTTCGGTGGTCGATATTTTATTTTCGTATAAAGTTAAGAGAGGCCGCGGTCGGTGACGGGTGGGGACGCGGCGAAAGGAAATGGAGGAAGCATATCGCTGACGGGACACTCGTAATAGTTTTGCGCATCGAACGAACCCCGCGAGCAATTATTTTATCGTGTCTTTGATGTTGTTTGCAGTTTTTTAACGCGAACGAGTACTCATCACTGCCGTCGTTATTCTTAGTATTATCGTTATCATCCTTATTCTTACGATTAACATTGTATTGATAATCATTCATATCAAGCACGGCCAGTAGCCGGAAGTTTGTGTAAATAGGAAAAGCAGAGTGTGCGCACGCGTGGGAGGGAACGATCCAGGAGCCGACGGGTTCTGCCGGCCTCAGATCCACACGATGCATAATCCCTGAAAGATTGCGTGGATGCGTTATCGCTGATTCATTCTTCGAGGCTCCTCGACTATTCTCCTTTTCATCGAAGGGCCGAGCTTTTTTCGCGTTACGCTCGACGTAATCCGGGCAAAGATCCGGGAAAGGAAGAAGAAGAAGAAGAAGAAGAAGTAGAAGTGGAAGGAGAGAAAAATGGAGAGGGAGAGGAAGAGAGAGAGAGAGAGAGAGAAAGAGAGAGAGAGAAAGTACGCGCAGCACTTTGAGAAAAAAAAAAATACAAAAAACAGTTTCACTATCGTAATGGTTTTCGAGCAGAGAATAAACAATGTAAAAGACGCATACTTAATCGTGAGTGTATATTTCGTGTATACAACCCCCTAATGTATATTATCTCGTGGATTTAGAGCATAAACGCAATTAAAGAATAAAACGGAAAAAAAATATCAGTAATATTAACGATAGCAGATGACAATGTAAACCGTAATGATTATTGTGCGCACATAGACCTAAGCTACTTTGTAATAATACGACGCAAAATGTACATAACTATCTAACTTGTAAGATACATGATTGTTCTATCATGTGAGAAGAGAATCTTCCTACGTCAAAAATAAATCATCGCATATTATTAATAAAGTATCTGTGGATTTATTTAACCAAGCACGCACGGGGGACAAACGGAGCAATTAATCTCGCTGCAATTGTAATTAACGCACGATTCGTGCACGCGCCGTTTGATCCGGCCTACGCCGTCTTATTTCTTTTCCGCGCGGCGGGTTTTCAGGTCGCGAGTCAGCCGTCTATTAATCACATTGATGTTCGCCAAGTTCTCGCTGCCACGGGCTGTAATTTTGCTAATGCACTTGAAATTAATTAACATTAAAACGGTCCGCCGTCCCATTATTCCAGCAGGCTGGTATATCGATCGTAAACCATTAAAGGCCATATTAATTACAGACCCGTGGTCACCGTAATCGCGACTGCAATTTGCGTACACGCGCCGCGCGTTCTTTCCGATGTTATCCTGTTTTCCACGAAATTAAAAAACATTTGCACGCCGACGTAAAGTAACCAATTTATCGCTCTACCCGGAAATAACTTTTCACGCCCCGAGATTACATCGGAACGGCCAATTTCCATCCGCGTTTATCCCTCATCCACTCTCGTCCAGCCTTCTTCGTACTACGCTCCTCCGCCCCTAACCCGTTCC